GCAATGGGCACATTCGTCTGGCCTGCTTCCCCCTCATGGAGGGGCCAGGGCCTTCCCCCTGCCCCCAAAAGCATGGTGTCTCAGAGGGACCCTCTCCCCACGGCACTGCACCCCTCTTCCCCATGGCGAGCTGGAAGAGGCCATGGGTACAGCGGGGGCTGAGCCAGTCCAAGCAGCGGGAGGGACCTGCAGAGGCTCTCACCACCTCCCGTGCAGTGGGGTCTCCCCTTCACAGCAGTCCTGTCCTTGCCCCATCCCTCCTGCGGAGCGACTCCCCCCGGTGCTGGGAAGGCTCCTTCCTGCCCAGCCCCTCCTGCGCTCCCCGCACGGCTGTCCTCGCCCCGGCCGCGGGATGCTCACTGGTAGCGGGCCTGGCTCTCCAGCACAGGGCCGCTCCTGTACTCTCCCTCCACTGTCTCCAGCTCTGTCTCGAAGCTCTGCAGCCCCCCGTCCTCTCCGTCCTCCGCCGGCTCCAGGTGGTTGCCCATGGTGCCGTAGGACTGGTGCGCTGGGGAGGCCGCTGGCGTCAGGCTCAGCTCGGGCTCCTGCAGGACTGTGGCCAGTAGCGGGCCTGGCTCTCCAGCACAGGGCCGCTCCTGTACTCTCCCTCCACTGTCTCCAGCTCTGTCTCGAAGCTCTGCAGCCCCCCGTCCTCTCCGTCCTCCGCCGGCTCCAGGTGGTTGCCCATGGTGCCGTAGGACTGGTGCGCTGGGGAGGCCGCTGGCGTCAGGCTCAGCTCGGGCTCCTGCAGGACTGTGGCCACGAAGAGCTGCCCGGGGGGGGGCAGAGAGGGGGGTCAGGGCTCAGGGCAGTGAGGGGTGGTGGCCATGGCAGGGCTAGGGAGGGCTACTCACACTGGAGTTGGGGGTAGAGGAAACGCTGCTCCGCTCCACATCGTTGAAGGTGCCCTCAGACTGGTCAGACATCTGGGGAGAGGAAAGCCGGGAAGAAACAGATCTGGGGTCTCCAGCCAAAGCTGGGGTCAGCCAGGCACTGTCGAAGACTCCCCATGGCTAAAGCACCACAGAGAGGCAAGGAGGGGACACTGTGGTGTGAGAGGACAGGATGGGTGGCTAGCTGCACTCACCTGGTAGCTGGAGGCTTTCTGTGGCTGCAGCTTCTTCAGGCAGAGGCCAAAGACAGAGAAGATGATGCAGGAGAGGAGGACCACGAAGGTGAAGAGCGTGACAGGGCGGGTGGGACCTAGAGCACAGAGACACTGGGGCAGCATATGAGTCTCCAAGAACCTGCTGCACATCCAGCTAAGCCACAGGCTGGCTCCTGCTTTGGGTCTTGCAAGCTCTCATCCCCCTTCCCAAGATATGAGTTAACACCCACCTCTTCTGCCAGGTCTCCATCACACCCTCCTCTTGTCCAGCCCACTTCCCACCCTCCCTGTCAAGCCTAACGTAGGAGTGACACCGGCAGCTCATCCCCAGTCATCAGATGTGACCCTCAGCGTGGTGGGGGGCAGCCCCAAGGTGTTCCTACCAAGGCGCAGGACGGAGAAGAAGAGCAGCCAGAACATGCAGAGGATGGGGGCCACCACGACCTGGCTGATGGCGGCAACGTGGAGGCGCTGGTTCAGCTTGGTGGGGATGTACACATAGTAAATGTTGTATCGGTCAACCATGTGCTTGAGCAGCATGTAGAGCAACCCTGGCAGGAGAAGAGGGGCCGTGAGTGGGGAGGACAATGGGGACAGCCAGGCACCAGGGACAGCAGCGCAGGCCCGGGGACAATGCCCAAAGATGCCCTCCTGTACCACACATGAAGCTTGTGCTCCCATGCTGCTGCTGGTGGCTGGGCCAGGCTGTTCTTGGCACAGCCAGGGGTGGCAAGGCCATGGCCATGGGCTCATACTCACCAAAGGGGACGATGATGGGGCAGGTGATGCTGTAGGTCATGACGACAGAGAAGATGCAGCAGGTCCAGGCATACTCCAGTCCAAACTGGAACTGGTAGGCTTGGCTCTGGGGCACGACCAACAGCGTTAGTACCGCCTCTGCCACTGCAAAGGCTACGCTTGCCTTCGCACGCAGGCCCACGCGAGTGCCTCCCCCACCAGCCCCAACAAGACCTGGAGAAGTCCCCACAAGCCTCCTCATAGGAGCGGGACAGCCCGAGTTTCCAGTGAGCATGTCCCTGCTGTGCTGGGGGTCGTGTCGGCTCCGGGGTGACCAGAGCCACGTACCCGCTTGACGTGGAGCCGCTCGGGCTCGGACTTGGCAAAGCAGAGACGGGCAGTGTAGACCAGGAGGCCGGGGATGCGCAGCAGCTCCATGGCTGTCCCGATCAGGCTGGAGGTGACCACGTAGTTGACGAAGAAGGCGCCGTTGTCCGGGAGGAAAACGCACCTGCCCCAGCCCAGGGATGCAAAGGGTGAGAGGTCGCTCGGGCAGGCAGCTGGGAGACCTGCCGCGAGCTGGTGTTGGGCACCTGTGCTTGCCCAGGAGGTTCAGGGGCTCCCTCCTACTCACTGGAACTTGATATTGGCCTCGTCCAGAAAGTGGGTGTCAAAGAGCCAGCGGAAAAAAAGGTCCAGGCTGGAGGAGGGAGAAAAGCAGCTCAGAAAGAGCGGGAGCCACAAAGCAACGTGGGAGGCACTCAGCAGGAGCATGCTTTCCCCTGCCCTGGGGGGTGAGAAGCTCTGGACCCTACATCACCCCCTTCTGCCACACGGGACCACTGTGGCATGGGTGTGCACCTCCTGGATGGTCAGAATCGCCATAGCTGGGGCTACAGATACCTGACCTGGTTCTTTTGGGGTCTGCTGAAGGGCTGACCCCAAGCAGGGCACCACCAGCACCCTTGGGCCAGCCGTGAAAGCCTGGCAAGCTGCTACACGCTCCTCCTCCTCCTTAGGAAAGCTTTCTGTCCATGACAGTCTGGGAGCAGCTCAGCATAGCTAAAGCGTGAGCGTTCTCCCCAGAATCACTGGTGTTTCAGCAGCAGTGGTCCTTCAACCCCTTGGGGATGGCTTGTGGGAGATGGGGGGCCTGGGTACAATCCTGGCTGCCAGGGAGCAGGGAGAGCAGTGTGGCAGAGCGGTCTGTACCTGCTCAGCCCCAGTGAGGGCAGGATGATGACCATGAACACCAAGAAGAAGAAGCACTTGTGCATGGTGAGCTGATTTTCACTCGACCTGCAGAGAAGGGAGGCAAGAGAAGAACATTGCACTTTTCCAAGGCAGAGCAACTGGTGGGGGGAGGCTGCACTCGGTCTCACTCTTCACCAAGGAGCGACTCCCAGTGCCAGGAAGCCACGTACATTTGGTCTGTGCATCTACTGGGCCTTGCAAAGCCCTTCCCAGGCTGGGAAGAGTCACCATGAGGAAACTGCTGTAGAGAAAGCTCTTGTTCTCCCAGCCTCTCACCTCCTTCATCCTTGCCATCTCCTACCATCCCTGCTGGCACAGACACCCAACAAGAGGCAGCTGGACATCTACAATGGGCTCAGGAGCTCCTGTTTCCCTCAGGAGAAGGAAGGAAGGTGGTGACAAATCTCCTGCAAGGACTGAGCAGACCAGGCACAGGGGTTGGGGCTAGTGGACGGTCAGCAAAAGCTGAGGAGACTTTAAGGATCCTGAACTTGTACCTCCACCCTAGAGGTCTGGGAGCATGGCTGGGATGTTTCACCTGAGTCAGGGTCATGGGCCTGCTGCTGCCAGCCCTATCCTTTTCACAAATTCCTTCAAACCTATCTTAAAACCAGCTCCACCTGCCTTTGTCAGCAGCCTGGAAGCATTCAAGTCTATGGCAAAGACATGGCTCCTTTGGGCATGGACTTGGGGCTCTTTCCATGGAGGGCAACCCATGGAGCTCTGTGGGGGTCTGCTGCTCCACTGCCTGCCTCCCTGCAGATCGGGTCTCAGAAGCTCTGCTGAGGTTCCCTCCCATCTCCTGCAGCTGTGGGGGAGCGTGGGGGCCGGCCCCTTACCTCGTCCAGTGTGACTCGAAGAACGCCGAGTAGTAGACGAGGAAGGGTAGGAAGACAGAGAAGGCCCAGAGCAGCAGCGTGGGGAAGAACTGGGTGATGATGGGGTTCTACAGGAGGAGAGATGTCAGACAGCCCCTCAGGAGCCTGCCAGAGCTCAGTCATGCTGGAGGCAGGCTTCTTGGGCCTCCTGGCACAGGACTGTGTGTCCAACAGGTGGGCTGGGTCATCCCCTACCTGAGCAGATGTGTTTATTTCAGGAGATAAGAGCCTGACAACAGCCAAAGATACCATGGGCACACTGAGCCCCAGTGCCCACCCAAGAGCTCACAGGTCAATGAGCAGGAAGGACATGTGCTGCTGGCAGCTCCTAACATCTCCTGGAGCTCTTCCTACCCCTCTCCTCTTGCATGGACGCCAACCTGTCCTCCCTTATGGACATGAGCACCAAAGCTCAGGTTTGCACAGGCGCCCCAGGGCTCTGCCACCAGAAGCACAAGGGGATGGATGGCAAGCAAGGGCAAGACCACTCATCAGTGTCCATCCCAGTGATGGCTTGTCTTCTTGGGACAATGTAGACCCAGTGCTCTCGCCCTGTCATGGGCAAGCCTGAAAATGGAGACCCTTTGGAGAGCTGGCAGAGGGCCCCAGGGACTACCTTGAGGCTCTCCACAGGGTGTGTGACGTTGAACATGTCCATAGTGTTAACGATGATGGCTGGTGTGGTGAGGAAGAAGAGAAGGACGAAGAGGCAGATATTAAGGAAGATGAATCGCACCCACCAGGACGTACCACGGACTGATAAATTCTCCCTGTGAGAGGAAAGCATGACTCAGACATGGTGTGAAGGAAAAGCCATGTGCCCTGGGCGTCCCACCCTGAAGCTCTGCCTCCCACAACATGCACCAACCATCCGGGCAGCCATTGCCTAAGCTCTCCCTCCCCACACTCGTGTGCTGACACCTGCAAAGCCCCCCAGGACCAGAGAATGGCCGCAGGGGGAGTCTGTACCACCAGGAAGCTTTGCAGTCAGGCTGGAGAAATCAGCCTGGCAGTTACTCTAAACCTCTCTTGGCTGCGCCCTACCACCCATGAGTTGATCACTCCAGTCACCCTTGCTGACTTCTGTTACGGCCACAGAAGCGATTGTCGGCCCATCCACCCTGGGCAGGTGCCCTATAGATATGGGTACAGGCTCCCTGCAGCTCCCTATAGCTATGGGCATGGGCTCCCTATGGGTACAGGCATGGGTTCCCCCTGGCTGCTTGCCTCCCTCCCTCCCACCATGGGGGTTCACCAGATAATATCGCTGGGCGCAGGGGCATAGCGAACGCCCCAGTGGTGTGACTTGACAACGGTGGTGACAGAGGACTGCTGGGGGTGCTTGCGGCAGTGGACGCGGCTGTAGTCTTTCAAGATCCTGAAGGAGGAAGGAGCCAGGGGTCAGGCCCAGACTGTCACTTCTTGTAAACCCCTCCCACAGCCCCAACAGAGTGGCCATCTCTGCAGATGGCAGAGGCACAGAGGAGTCAGACCCATTGCCTGGCTTTGGCTGGAGAAGGTGGCGAGATGCCTCAGCTCTCC